ATCAAATGGTATTGAATACTTCAGTTAGTGTAATTTTGAAAACCTAAAAATAAAATGTAAATTTTTCGAAAAACAAATAATTTTTTTACAATAATGTATCAGTAATATATAGTTCAAGGACATAATCAAATATCTATAAATACTATTTTACATCCAAAGTAAACAGTTACCATAAATCACCATTTAACATTAACATTTGCATCTGTGTTTCTCGCTAGTGTCCAATAAATGTGACGTTTGTTCAACAATCTTCGTCGGGCCATCCGTTGCTAGAGTCCCACTTAAGGGACGCTTATTGTACACTTGTTATAACGAAGTAGTTAAAAAATGTAACTCTTAAAATTTTATTAGTTAGAAATATGGTACTACTCAAAGTTTCAAATGTATTTTGCACTTAAAATTGTAATATTTACGAAGATATACACTTTCTTGTGCTCGTGTTTTCTTTTTTCCGCCATTTCTATGTCATGCAAAGCCGGCGCTATAACTTTTTTTAAATTAATTTTTTTTACAAAATACACACAAATACAATAGTCGAACCATTTCCAAATACAATGAAACATAATTTGTGTTTTAACTAGTTTTTATCAAATTTTAGCTTATGAGTGGGACGCTAGCAGGATACGGCTATATATATATATATATATATATATATATATATATATATATATATATATATATATATATATATATGTATATATATATATATATATATATATATATATATGTATATATATATATATATATATATACATTTATGTGTGTATATACATGATAATATGTATTTAAACAATAAATATTCTTGTGGATACGAAAGCGAGAAGCCGCCTGCTTGTGTATATGAGAATTTCCGTGTGCTTCTGTGATTTCAAATCGTATTACAAAATTGATGTAGTATTTCCAATTGGCTATTAGAATTTAGTCAATTACGTATAGATGACACATTATCCATTTTTTATTTTTATTATTAACTATATTAAACCTCATCAGGTATCTGAAAACTAACAAAGTGTATAAAGGTGAAGTATTTTTAACCCTTTACTGAATAAATTAATTTCTTTAAAGCTTTTGAAGAAAACAAAAACTTACTTTGTAGATGTTGGGGTGTAGACTGCCTAAGTAATGAGAAATAGCAATATTTTACCAAGTAATGTTTATTTTTTTAAATAACATTAAGTAGCCATTTTTCTACATATTGCAATGGTAGGTAAAAATAGAGATAAAAATAGCAAAAAAGGGAAAAATCGGTTACTCATACTCATAGAATTTTTTTGAGAAATTATTGTTTTTTAGTCATTCGAATTTTTCTACCCTAGCCATAAAACATTTACTGAGCCTAAACTAAAAAAATCACGTTTATTATTAAAGTATTTTTGTTTCAGCTGAGATCATCAACGATGATATTTATAAACTATACCAACGTTAACAAAAAAGAATAAGCTAAGGTGGGTAAATTTACAATAAAACCAATTTGGAATAGTAACAACATGAATAAAAGGTCTGACTTTGAAAAATTCTCAAAATTTTAAAATTTGTCACAATGAATATCTCCTAGTTCCAGACATAGGCTACCCTGTTGTGCATCTCCTAGAGTATTTTCAGCAGGAAAGGCCTAAATGTTGGAAAACCGCAGCCAAAAATTACTTAGTAACATTTTTTTGGTAAAATTATTTTAAAAAAATGTTTGCATCATACGTTAACTTTCTTTTATGTGTTGTTTTATAGCTCCTTGATATTTACTATTATGGTAAAAAATGTATGTGTGTATGTATAATAGTTTTTTTTTGGCACATTTTTTCGTCAATTTTCAAATGTCTGGGTGATACTGCCCCCTTAAGCAACAAAAAGAAATGTCAAATCACAGATGCTGTTGATTGTAGCATATACGTATTTTCGTTCTTCCAGATGTAAATAATCTTATTCATGTTTTGTTTCCCCATAATGTAATTTTTAACACTTTCTTCATTCTAACACTCTGCGCTTCGGGACCATGATAAGTGTGGTATCTAGCTTTAGCTTTACGCAGTATTTAATGACCTTTAGTCTCGTATAAAATTGATATACATTACTAGCGTACATATCACGCATTGCTGCAGGCTTACGCAATATTTTAAGAGGATTTAGACGCGTGACCTTGTTTCTAAAAGTGAGGGTTTTTTTATTTTAAATTATTTTAATTGTAAACCAATCAGGCACTATATTTCTTGGATCATAATGTTTGGGGTGCGAGTTATTTTATATTACCACCCACGAGCTCCATCGTGTGATGAATGAAAAACTTTAGCGTACGTTAATTACTTTTTTAATAGTGAGCTAGCACATACTTTGGCACCTCCTATGTTTCCAGGACGTCAAGTGGCGCTCTCTTATTTCTATTCTTTTTTTATAAAAAAAAAATTGTCTACATTTAAAATTAATATACGTCATCATAAATGCTAACACATCAGAACATAAACCCTTACAAATTGGTTCATTACACGGGTATGTGGGACTAGATCGCAGTAACGCGAAAGGGTGCGCTAGTTACAGATAAACATTCTTTAACATTTCACGATGATCAGGGGCAGATTTTGATGTCTAAGATTGAATTTTTTAATCTCAATATTTGTTCATGATGTTGATTTGTTGTGAAACAAATTGTAGATTTGCCCAGTGACTTAGCCATCCTATGTATCTAAGTTACAGAAGTAGCTAAAATAGTTCTCAAGGAACTTGTTAATTTTTTGCAAAACGAAAAAAAACAGATCTAAATAAATCAAAAGCAGTTTTTTTAAATTAAATTATGTTAGTGACGTCACAAGGTCGGGTGTTCCTTACAAGTTTACCAAAGGTGTCACCCCGATCGTCCTCAACAACTTTGCAATTATTGTAGGGCGTCACCCCTCTCTGACTTATCTTTTATTATTTTATCTGGATACAACATAATTTTGAAAGAAAATTTTACAATGTTTCTTCACGGTGTCACGCCTAAATGTCAGCTGATGCGGACCGCACATCTGCCCCCGCCTTGTGACCCTACGGTGTTTGTTTACTTAAAAAACAAATTAACTGTAAGCCTGTAACATTTTTACAACCCTACATAATATAATAGTATAAATAAACAATTAGTAGGCCTCGGCTTATGAATAAAATACAAAATGTACTGAATATTTATATTATTTAAAACACTACCTCGGAGGTAAGAGTTGATTTATTTGTTTCATTCCCTTGTAGCCTAACGGCGAACTAAGGGAATCACTGATAATTTTTGCATAGGGGCTCGAAAATGCTAGCTATGCCATTGTCCTAAAAGTATTGATTAGCAACGAGCAGTACACCTAACTACTTCGAACCCAGCATACTGAAAATAGGTCGTGCTCTCAGTTCGGATGCAGCGCATTAAATGCTGTGGTCAATAATTTTAGAATTTTTCGTATCCAACGATTCCATGGAAATTCCCGGTCACATTTTGGGCAAACGCTGACTGCGTGATCCATAGCTACACATAATTAATCCGGGAATTCCACTACTAAACACGCTTTAAAATTAGCTATTGGGAATTCACTTCCGTATATAAATAAATATTTGCCAGTTATTTATGAAATCGTCGAAAGTTAAAAGATTTTCCATTTTTTAGCAAAAATCCGAAACTTAAGATTAATATACTAATACAATTTTATAAAAATAAAACTAGCGATTCCCTCATAATTTTTTACTGTTTTTATTATCACTTGGTTTATGATTTATTTTTAGGATTTCGACGAATAAAAGTAAGCTTCGCAGAGGAAATTTTTCGTTTTCGCTTTGTTCTCACACATCCTGGCCAACAAGCTACGGATATAAGAGTCAAGAGCAGTATTTTACTAGACGAGGCAAAGAATCTCTTTATTTTAAAATTAGTTATTTATAGTAGACCTATATTGTTCTTAAGTAATCCTTATCAGAATTATATTATGTTATAGTTTTATACTTTCTTATTTATTATCCAGCTGTATTCATTTTATTCTGGTATTTAGATCTAGTTGTTTTAACTGTTTAATTTATTATTTTTTAAAAGTGTCGCGTTACGTGCATATTTTTAAAGAATAATGGGTATTACGATTTTCAAATGTAAAGTACTCATTTATAGTGACTAAATTTACTTCTTTAAGCAAAAACCCAAATTTTAAATTTCACAAATTTAGAAAAAACAATATGGCTGCCTCGACTTATACAAAGGCATACATTAAAGCTATATTTAGATATGAGAGTCCCCGATTAAAACGAAACTCCTGTTTTGGTGAGAAATGCGGTTGATGTTTGGTTTTTTTTTTTTAAGTTTAAGTAATGTATCTTACTTTAAAGATGTGTTGAACTATTTTTAAAGCTGTTTCCTAAATTTTGATTGTTTGTTTCAAAAAGGGTTCTTGAAAATAAGGTTGGTTGTCTATAGTTATTAAATGTTGTAAGGGTGGTGTATTTTATAAAATACTATTTTGTTTTTCTTATTTTTAAACGAAATACATTTGATTTAGTACTAACGCAATTATTCGAGACATAAAGATAAAATTAGCACTATATGTAATGATATTGGTTTCACTGTAGCTTTGAGCATGTTCTATAATATGTAATCACCCTAAATACAGTTGACGTAATCCAGGTAGTGAGATTACGTGTCTGAGTTAGTGTATTCATAATTTAGGGACTCGATTCGTGTTATAATTTTTTTTAAATTATCAAGTCAGTTAAATCTATCAGTCTGCCTTACAAACCAACATCTCTGAAGAAATCGTTTATTAGAGTAGAACTACTTCACATGACTTAGCTTACAACCAGAGGTTTATGCAGGGGCAGCAGAAGCTCTACCGTGGACTCTAACCCATTTTTAGGATAGTTTTAGTAGTTATTTCGGAAATAAAATTTAATGCGAGCTCCACCTTAAAAAAAAAGTCCTCAACTTATAGAAACTACGAACTTTAAACTGTTAACAAAATAATTCAATGGTCAACATTGTGTTAAGTATTATTTAGTGAATCGTCGTATGATTTATTCTTGGCATACTTCTCGGTGTCTAGTTGAGCACCAGACAGAACGAGACGCTTTTTTTATTGTTACAATGTCATGCCACTTTAGCACTTGTGCATCGGCTGTTTACGCAAACCACAGATCTTCGCAATTGTAACGTTTGCTTGAGGGTCAGCAGGGGTGGATATCCAAGAGGCCTAGATATTAAAAGAGACGGTCCCTCTTACCGTGGCTTCAATTGATTATTTTGCAGTTTTTTATTCCCTCAAGGCCTGAGTCCCGCCAATGCCTAGTCACGGGTAAGTTAACAATTGACAATATATATAAATTAAAAGCAAAGTGGGGAATGAATTGTTTAAAAGTTTAACCCGCCATTTTAATCATGAAAGGGACGCAACAGCGTTAGGAATTTTAATTTTACCCTTTTTTTTTTTTACTGCACACGGAAATTAACAAAAATTTAACAAAATTTGACATATTTTAACGCTCAATTTTTATCTACATAAAGGGATATATTATAACTAAAACTGCGTCAGGAATTTAAACTTTCAATATCACCCGTTCTTTGAAATCATAAAAGAAAAACACGATAATAACATGTTGAAAAACGAAATATTCCTTAAAAATTTATTCTTAAACTTTTTTAAATAGGTGTGAAATTTAAATAATGTCCAATAATTGATTTTTTATCCATGACTGATGTAAACGAAGCAACTTCGTCTCAGATAAACAATGAAGTTCATCAGTCCGTTTGGTGCACTTATTCGAGGCACAAACTTTAAATATGGTATTGCAAAGTTATTTTTAACACTGCTATTCAATAGTTAATTAAACTTTAAATACTTTAAAGGTTTTTTTTTTCTAATCAAATCATTAACGAGATACTTAAAGAAAAAAAAAATAAATGCAACTATTTTATTTCACCTGAGGTCTTTGTCGGTTAAATACATTGGATAAATTAATACATTAAACTCCTATGAAGAAGGACTTCAATTACCCTTCCCCCCCCCCTCCCACCGTTAATTAACTCGACCCCTAGGACATTATCCCGACAGAAAAAAACTGCAGCAGGAGAACTGTTTATTTTTAGTAAGGTTTCAATATTGTTGGCTATTCTACGCATATTATTTAACGTTTTGGTCGCTTTAATTTTTGGAGTAGATATTGAATGTGCTGTATGTGTACAATGGTCTGTTTATTTTTTATTTTTATTATATTTTTTCATTGTTTTTTTATCTGTTTATTTACTTTAATTTTAATGTTAGGCTTTGCAATTATTTCCTTTGATGGTGTAAAAAGCTAAATACTAACACGTGAAACTTCTATTCCCATATTTTATTTTGTATATTTTATCTGTATCGTGGGTTTGCTGTTCACCAGGAGAGGTAAAGTAAGTAACACGCGGTTTTCTGTTTAATTTTTTGACCCTGGTTAATATATTTGTGTAACAAATCTTGACATTGAGGAATGGCAGATGTAGGCTAATTTTTAGAATCACATGCTGATGCTGTTTTGAACGTAGCATTATGTTAAGACTTCAAATATTTTGTAAGTTTGTAAACACAAAAAATATGTGCTTTTACATCCACACTAGAAAATGGATGTAAATGGATTGTAAAACTCCTGACCCATAATACAATAACAACAAAATGATCATGCGGAAGTATCATGTTTTGTTTTTTTAATTCGACATAATACATAATGAATGAGTTAATGGAAAAATCAGTTAATACTGCGACAGAGGCGTAGCGAGGGCAGGGTGGGGGGTGCGGACCGCACCGGGTGACATCAAGGCTAAAAATTGCAAAATATACAGAAGAAAAATGCTTTTTGCCAGTTCCATTAATGATTAATTAAATTTAATAGTCTTTTAAGTACAAATCGACAAATATTACAAGAAGGTGGGGGTGACACCATTACGTAAACGAGCTAACTCTAGAGGAAAAAAAAGTCTACATCGAACTGTATTATTAACAGGCTATAGATAAACATCGTTACTTTAAAGTCTACAGTGATTAAAGATTATACACACACACATATATATATATATATATATATATATATATATATATATATATATATATATATATATATATATACTTTGTTTCTTGGGGGTGACACCTAGAAGTGCCGCACCAGGTGACACTCAACCTAGCGACGCCACTGGTTAAGGAGAGTATACTATTAACCTCTTTAAATCTAAGCATAATTTCGGATACATTATTTGCAATTGTGTAATTATGGTATTATTATTCTGGTTTTTAACGCAAACAAAATGTTTATTTGACTTCGACGAACTGATGTGGTAACTCGTCACTGATTCACTGCATTAAAAATCGTGTATGGCCATCGTTATCTGGATATCTTGGCGAAATGTGTAGACTATCACCAGCCTGCCGATTTTTAGTTTATTTTGACATTGTCCTCAAGTCATTTTCCGTACCTACCTTTCCTCGGCTTCATCTCTTACCTCACAAGTTCAGTGGGTATCGTTGTCAAAGATCCACAAGAATTAGCATGGCACTCTTTTCCACATAATTTGTACGAATTTTTATTTTAAAGACAGCAACTCTTGACTACTGGATGACTCGACCTACCTGTTAGTCTACGTGCATGAGGACGTTGATTATTGGGCCGAGATTTTCCAGTACTTCAGTAGGCCTACTTCGGGAAGTGACGGCCAAAGAAGCGTGTGCATTGGCACGTACCGCCATGTTGAACGCTTACCATACGACTCGGACAATAAACGAAGCGGTCAACAAATTACTTAGAAACAAAATTGAAAAGTACGAACTCAGGGCTGTAAGGGTTATTTAACCTGGAACTGAATTTTAAAACATCAAATCACTAAAAATGGGCGTACTACAGATGTTTAAAGCAGCGCACCGGGATTCTTTTCCTGGCGTCTCACTTGGATAACATAATGCACTGAAAGAATTAAGTTAACAATAACAAAAAAGGAATGTTGTGAATGGTAGTTCGGTGTATTGCATGACTATGAGATTATGTGTTTTGTGGAATGTGTTATATTTGTAACACTCACTCAGTGTGGATGCTTTTTACCCACTGAGGTGTTGTGGTTAAAACGGGCTGACCCTGAGATTTCGGACACACTGAAACGATACTTTTGTCAACTACTGGCTTTATTCACATTACATCGAGCCATAAACGGCGATGTAGAACAACAGTAGACGACGACTTATAGATGAATAATAAAACAAAAAACTGTAGCCCAAAAACAAATATAAACAAAATGTTACATCACTGGTAATAGTAATACCACGTGTAGGCTACAAACATACACGGGTGCAATAAAATATGTTACTGCCAATAAGTAGCACAATAAGAACTACTTAAATAAATACTACACACCTAACTAGTGCGCAACATGCGGCATTAGCATGAATAATACAGAAAAGTAAACAAACGAAGATACTCCACCCCTAGTCTGCAACATGCAGCACTAGGAGGAGTAGTACAGTAATATAAAACAGAATATTACCTTCATTAGGTCTACATTGTCATGATCTACCTCTAGGTACCGTCACCCTCCGTGTCCACAGACAGCAGCCTTGGGTTTGACTGACACGGCTAGGCACGAACTACCCATAATCTCATGTCGCATGACATGGGAGACACAGGTAAAATCGCTCACCGAAGAGCATGCAAAAAAAACTACCTCAACAGTTGCTGTCCCACAAGGACCGCAACCCAATGAATTACAACTTTATTACTTATCCCCCCCCCTTGGCTGGTAACCATATGTGTTACAAATTAATTAAAAGTTTATAAATGTGTGACGAGGTACACAATGATGTGACGTCGGCAGTGTTTCTTCCAGACTTTTTTCTCCGGGGGGGGGGGGGGGGCGGACACTGTTAAAAGTATATATTTTCTATATAAATTATATAAATTTCATTTCGTTCGGGGGGGGGGGGGGGGGGCGGTAAAAATTTTTCGGGGGGGCATTGTCCCCCCCCCCCCCCCCGAAGAGATACCTGGAAGAAACTCTGGACGTCGGTGAGAAGGATTTTGTTTTAGGGAAACTTAGTGGAGATCAGTCTTCGTCCTGTTGTGTTAGAGGGTAGATGTATTCGTTTGTCATCGTGGATATAATATTTACGTATGACAGTGCAATAGACGACTAAATGAACCAATGCCGTCCTGTCCTTAATTTATATGGGGTCGTCGTTTTCTGTGGATTCCCGTTGTGCGACTCGCATCCTACAGGGAAGAATTACGTAAAACTGCTTTAAAAACGTTTATCTTCATACTGCTGATAAGAACATAAGCTACTTTTTTTCAATATTATAATTATACAATAAATAATTTAGTTATATTGTTAATGGTGGTAAAAAAAAAAGGTCTAGCGGTAGAGAGCTGGACTGCTAACACGTAAGTCTCGAGTTCTAATCCGGGTTCAAGTCAGTAGACCGTCCTCCCTGGAGTCCACCCAACTCTGATGTGTACCTAACTCAACTTAGGGAAAGTAAAGGTGGCTGGGCATAGTGCTGACCACACTATCTCTTCATATGCCGAGGTCACAGAAACAAGTGAACTCTACTTCACTTCCCCGTCAGATTTGAAAGGGAAACTATATTGTTAATGAAATGACCATTTTATAACAATTTAGTTTTCAGGAACTAGCTTCATGAGTTAATTAAACTAACAGCATTTACATTAATTAGGCTACATAATTAATTTAGAAATAACTGAACCATGCAAAATTTATTGCGAACAGCCTTTCTAAATAAAACTGTAAATCATACATTATTTTTTGTAATTATTACAAAAAAATAATGTATGATTTACAGTTTTACTATTACTAATAGATTTAGAAGTAATATTTAAATGTATTTACGGAGGGCGCCGGAAGTTTTCGATAAAAGAAAATTGTTCGAATACCGTTTGACCGAAGGTCCATTTCCCGAATAGAAACTTGCCCGAATGCGACAAATGCCATAATGTACACTTGCCCGAAAGCGACAAATGCCCGAATGGACACTTGCCCGAATGCAACAAATGCCCGAATGGACACTTGCCCAAAAGCGACAAATGCCCGAAAGCCACTTGCCCGAAAAAATGCTAATGTTATATGATAAATCAGAATATCAAATAGACACTCTTTGTCAATTCAAGTTTGACTTTTGATAATCCATTCGGGCTTTTGTCGCAAGCGGGCAAATGTCCATTCGGGCATTTGTCGGATGATCATTACACCTTAACCTCACTAACGTAGTGTTACATTCATGAAGAACGTTTAAATAATTTACATTTGCCTTCCGTTTTAATCGTTTTGATTAATGTATTTCAGTGTGTGTATATGCTAAAATGATAGTGATGTGAGAGTGCACTTCCATCTACTCAACAAGGATTAATAATGCTTACTATATGTATTAACAAAATGAATTCATCAAGACTTATTGTAATTGTTGCATTTTTACAACTGCAGCTAAAATTAAATAATAGTAAGTATTTTTTATACTGAACAGTAAACATTTCTTATTTTCCTGCTTGTTTAAAAAATGCGTTAAATTATCGGGTTTAAAACAAATTAGATTAGATCTATACATGATTTTAGAACAAAAAAGATGTTTAATTTGTACAGTAGCCTACTGCTGTTTAGATTCGACATTTTTCACGACAGCAAATTATGATACAATTACAATAGGAAATAGCAACAGCAAATAAACATAAAGCAAAAAACTTCACTATTTTCAGAATTTAAAATTAAACCTACATATAACATCTAACACTACATGGTACTTTATGGTCTTTCACTCTCCAACTCTGGGCTAAATATTTAAAGAAAGCTATTTATCAACTGTAAATCTTGTATCTACTCTATACTTAAACTTAATGTAAAATTTTCATATTTTTGTCAAACTAGCTTTGACTCTGGGCTTACAGGAAAGCCAGAAAGATGACGGCAACAAAACTTGCCAGGATGCACTAATTGCTGAGAAAGACAATTTCCACTTCACTGGTTTAGTGAACTTCAATTCTGACCAACGCCTCTGGAACCGATTTCTGACAATACAGTATAAACAAATGTCCAATGATGAATTCATATCCGTAAGTTTAAAAAACTGATATTTTTTATTGTTTTACATGTAATATTAACACAATCATTACTATTTACAAAAAGACACTCATAATAATAGTGTTATATATTGACATGATTGTTAAAAAATCTATACTAGTTTTCCTTTTGTAAGGTCTACACTGTTATGTGAATTATTCTTTTTCATTCACTTAACAAGTGTACTTCTTATGTTTGCCTCACATAGCATGGTGTTTACGATAGAAAAAAAAGCCTTTATTTCAAGGTATTAAAATCCAAACACTACTATGTAGGCCCTATCTCCCTAAATAAATAATAAGCAAGATAAATGTGAGAGTAATAACACATTTTTTTTTCTACGAGAAAAAGGAAATTGTCATTCGCTATTGAAGTACAAGCACAGTTTCCATGTTGTTCTTTGTTTTTTATTTTAAGCTACACTTTCAATCCATTTTAGATAATTTATAAGCGGATACAATGCAATATATTTTAATTCGCCCTACAGTTGGGTGAGGCAGGTCTATACAGCTGTATAATCAATATCGTCGAATAAAAATATAGGCTATGTGTAAAACCTGTTGAACAGAAAAGGATGTTATTTTCGCAATAAAATGATCTAACCTTACATGTTACTATGTTGCCGATACAAGAACCCATGATTCGCCACCCTTTCCCCAATACTAATAGGGTCAACCATTTATGACGTCCACAATGACTCACGAAGGTTGCTGAAAAAAAGTCGACTTTCGAGGAGGAGTGTTGGGTCCCTGTGGACGTCCATAGTCTAAATGTAATATAAAAACATTCTTTAATATTAATGTATTAAGACACACGAAAAATTTAATCTGCATACAAAATGTAAAGATCTACATGTAAATGGCAGTGCCCTTGGTTTGACGAAAATAATCCGCAACTGGTATTTAAATCGCAGTATCTATAATATAAAGTTCGGGTGGTAAGGGAGTGAGGAATGACATTTTTTTTAAAAAGTTCATAAACTTGATGTGGCCTTACGAATCCTAATTGTTAGGATTCTTACATTTACGTAGGTATTTGCGTATATAAAGAGTAGCGTCCCTTTTATTTACATGTGTACATAACCCTTCAACTTCAAACGATAGTCTGATTTAGTTATATTGTGATTTTAAAAAAAATTAAAATGAAAGCCAATTAGTACTTTATTTTCTTAAAATGTTTTTTAGTTGTGCGGCTAAGAACAAGATTTGTATTACTTTTTCAACCCCGTTTGGCGCCCCTCTAGGGTAGGCGCCCCACCCACCTCCCCTAGCTACGCCTCTGCGCAGCACATATTAATTAGTAGGCTTTTAAAAATTAGTAGTATTTTAAAAAGTAAACTTGAATTTTTTTGTTGACTTCCAAATCGGGCGCTAGGGAGAAGTGTCCAAAGTTGACAATTAAGCGGGAGGGGGAAGGGAGAGGTTTAAAACATCTAAATTTTTGTGAACGTCGTAAATTGATGGCCCCCAACTCCGAGATTTAGGCAGATCTACTTCTTAATCTTATACTTATACCACAATGAATATTATATTACAAAAAAAATACTGTTAAAACATCTCATTTCAGTCAGCTCATCATCATAAAATAGTATGACACTTTTATTAGAATTTACAGCCTTGTAGTGGCTTGTTATTATTAAAAAGTTGATCGTCTCATTATTTTTTTTTCAGATGTGTTCATTTGACACAAACACTACGGTTTCCACGAATTCATCTAACGACTGCTATTGTTCCAATAGTTCCACTAATTTTAAGCAGTTTGTGATAAACAAAACTGCAAAATTAAAGTACAGTAATGCTGAGATAAGAGCTGTGATGTATTCAACAAACGGCAAGGTTGTTTACAGCAAGACACTAAAACTACCTCGAATCATTAGTAAGTTATTATCAACCTGTCATTCATAGTAGAATCTTATTCTTAAAGTTAAATGCTGTTTACATGTGCTTTTTACAATATATTTACGATCGTTTCAAACGAAACACATCAACTTGATCATAAGTGTTTACGTTTAATTTTTTATTTGTATTTTGCTAATTACAGCAACAACTTATTAGTTTTGATGAAAGTTTAAAAGTTTGTATTTTAATTGTTGATTATCTTTTAAAATTGTTAAAAGGAGAAAAAATTGTAAAACGTAGAAGTATTATATGGTAAAAAGAATAACATGCCCGGAACAAACAAAAATTTTAGTAAAGTTCAAATTTTGGAAGATAGTAAGAACTATAACAGACGCATCAATTACGGTAAAAATGAACGGCTATGATCTAATTTACATCCAGCACATTTAAATGTGCCAATTAAATACCAATAACGGTATTCGCAAGGTTTTAAATGCCACCTGAAATTCGACCTATAAAAATAAAACATATATTTTCTGGATTATACGATTATACGATTGATTTAAGATGGATAAATTGATAGAACACTTAAACAAAATGTAAAATATGTCAAGTTAAACTTATCAATTCGTTAACAATCAGATTGCAGATTTGAACAGTAAGAGGTAATACAGACAGCTTTTGATACTTAAAAGATAAATCGAAGTCAACAGTTTAAAGTTTAAAACAATACAGAGAAGAAACAATTTAAGAAAAAATGTTATAAAAAAAATATTTAAAAAAAAAAAGAGTTAGTCTTATTGGGAAAAAAATTGTAAAGTTGTTATCGCCGGCTGACACGGTAAAATATTGTCTGAAAACGACGGCAAAATATATTGCATTTTGTATTTTTTCGAAGCATAATAATTATATAGATCGCCAAAAAGGTGATTTAGCAAAATGTAAATTAAGTTTATTCAAACCAGAAAATCTAGCAATATTAGTTTTAGATGGTTAATCCAACGCTCTAACAAGACAATAGCCATTATTGGGAATGTAGATGTTACCATTATCATAACCTTTATCGTAATATAACATTACGGATACAGTTGTGAGTTGGTTTAGTTTAGCTTAATCCAAGTCTTTCTACACAAAGCTTAAGCAAAATACTTAAGAAAATAATTAATTTCGAGCGGTATTTGTTCTTTTCCTAAAACGCTTTGTAATTATATGGAAATTGCATTTCCAGCGTTGCCAGTAACAAAGATACTTAATCATAAATGCTTAAGTAAAGAAAATGTATATATGTATTTGTTAAAATTAAACATGTTTCATATTTCGTTTTAGAAAATTTTAACAGCACATTGGAAGCTGATGACAAAAAATATGAAATTTCTGGCTGTGAAAAATGCAATATGACATCTTCCACTATCCGATTTTGCTGTTACTCGGATGATGGGTCATGCATCCCTGTAATTTATAACAATGGAGAGAAAGTAAATAATTCGGCTGGCAACTGCACAGAATTCAAGCTTAAAGCTAATGAAATAGCTTACTTGGCCTTTTCAATTGAAGATTCTGATACAGGTATTCCTGCTGTCAACAAATCATGCATTGTTGAATATACAGGTAAACTGTTTATAGCGTAAATTTTAACGTTTTTATTACCTGCATGACCAGAAATATTTTTTAAAATTAAAATAAATTTTATTTGTAACGGTAAACTATGTTGTCCTCAATTTAAATTGGAACTCACGTCTGTCTGTTTATTAAATCAACCAAACAGGCAGGACGAATACAAAATAACACATTAGTTTTGTATTCTATAAGTGTATAAGATTGAATAAAATAGTGAAAGTGGCAAGCTTCAGTGTATATATATATAAGTAAAAGTTATATTACTATTGATTAGATAATACTATTGACTTTTATTAGGGAGCTTGTAGAGAGTCAACAGTATTTGAAACGGTAAGAAAATAACGGCGCCCCACGTTTTTGATCGCTTATAGTAGAGTGATCGCTTGCATTATTGTGATGTATAGCATTTATTTTCTACTTTTTAGTTCAATCAGAAAACGTGGGTTTTTAAAAACTTTTTTAATGATTATTATTTTCTACTTTTTAGTCTTTGTCTGTTTGCATTAAAATCTTGCTATCGATTTTATCTTTTCACTTTTTTTTGGGTAAACGAAGACAACTCGTAAAAAGACAACTCGTAAAAAACACGTTGTGTGAATACGTTACTGACTAGAACACATAGATTTGAACCCGTGTCGAGTGGGATAGCAATCGTGTGCCCAACCACTCGACCATATCGTCTCCCCCATACTGGCCACCAGTTGTTACGGTTGTTTGTACACGAACACCGCATGAACACTACTCAGTAAGCAAAGAGGGAGAGTACCGAACCTTGTTTTCATCAAATTACGGTTACTGGGTGATGTCCCTTTTTCCCCACGTTTTTACTACAATTATATAGCGGTCTAAAATGCTCAATAAAATGTTTCCATGGATCAATTTAGTAATAATAACAATTGAATATTCTATTTTCATCCAAAACAAAGCTTCGCTGAAAATTTCAGCGCGCTAGCTAACTGGGAAGTGCCAGAAATTTCGATCGCAAGATTTGATCGGAAAAACAGAGACGAAAGCAAGTTAAAGAAAACGTGGGAAAAAAAGGTTAAGAACCACCGCTTAAGAGTGTAGTTTGAAGATGATACAATTGTATTTTGTTTACTTTTGGTCCAGTCTCCCTCCCCCCTTTCTAGGAAAAGCTGGAAAGTGGTTTTTGCTGGTCACTGTTTTTTAACGATATATGTTTAACAGTTAAACAATAAAGGTAGAAAACAGTTAAATCAGTATGCAAAGGCTTGTAACCGTTATTTTTTTTTAACGTTGACTGTTTATAAATCAAAACTGCAGCTTAAAATGAGCTTTTAATTTTTTTTTCCTACCCTTTTTGGCGCCCCTAGGGTCGGCCGCCCCCCCCCCCCCTTGCAAACTTACGATTATTAATAGTGGTGTCAAACTGATTTTTTAAATCGGTCCAAGAGCTTTTTTGAAAGTTGCCATGTCAAGAACTCATGACTCTAAGATAATGGGCACTAAATTTGTTTATATATCTCAAATAGTAAAAAAGTTGTGACGTTTTAAAAAATTTGTTTTTAACTTTTTTCCAACACCCTAAAAAGTGCCATGTTTGAGAGGTTATATCTGTAAAAGTATATGTCACAAACAAAATCTTTTGAACTCGACACAAACACATATACACAGAGAACAGACTAAATGTTTTTCAAACCTCAAAAATAAACACATCATTTAAATTACTTGCATTGTCTTAACAGTAGTTCTTCACAACTTTAACCTGAAAATATGTAATCAATAGCTACAATAGTCACCATAAATGGTCAACATAATTTAGAGAACGTAACAAGGTTTTTTTTCGTAGACAATGGCTATATTCTTTTAAAAAGGAATCTAATAACGGTTTATTTCCAAGCTGACTGCAAAGTGTAAATGCATTTGCACTCGTGCACTGATCATTAATATATATTGACATTGTTACAACTGTAGTAAATGTCTCGCACCCCCCCCCCCCCCCCCCCATTCCAGGTAAGTTTTAGAAGCGTTAACAAAACATAGTTAAAATTGAAATAAAAGAACACAATAAAAAATAAATTTCTTTGGTAATATAAAGTATTTCAAGCTACACATCATGTACTATTACTATTTAGTTTAAAATCATCGCTAAAACCCAACCCATCCATGAAATTTGCGGGGTTTTCTACTTTAAAGTATACCCATATATTGTTGACACTTGCGACGAAATATACGATCACGTGACCTTTTACAATTAACAGAAAAAAATATTCAGCTATTCTAAAAAGGCTAGAAAAATATGTTGCAATTTATTTTCAAAGTAGGCATAACCTCTGTCAGAAAAGACAAACATATTTGAACTAAGCAATTATAAAAAAAAATAGACTCCGATACAAAGTGAAGTGGGGTTTAGCTCATTGGGCAAAGCTGAAAAATTACGTGGAAGTCTAATCATTGAACGGCATTATAGCTTTAATAATAAAAATATACTGAAGAAATAAACCATACAAACTAGACTCACAAACTTGTTTATTACGTAGCTACATGTTTTTATTTATCTTATTGAACTATCAAGTCTCTAAAACTTGCTAACATCAATTTAGAAAAGCTTGGTGGTGCGTTGTTAACGAAGAAAACGGCCATTTTCTTCGACCGGGCCTAGAGCTATTTTAGTGATCGCTATAGTGTGTTTTGTCGAGCTCGGCCTTTTTTTACCATGCTCAGAAATGATAAACAATTTTAGTGTTTTAATTTTTTTTAAAAGGACCACTTTTCTGAAAATGCTTATAAAAAATGTATATGATGATAGAATCACATGGTAATTTTCAAATTTAAAAAAAAAAATTACATTTAAAATATTAAGTCTATTTTTTTTTGTTTAGTATCCCATTAAAGGCTATTCAATTCTGCACATTTTACTGGTATTTGTAAAGAAATACGTTGAACGGTCAAAAAAGGTCCGCGAGTTGAATGAGAGAGGGGCCAAAATCCGTAACTCGACTGCCGTTGAAAAATCATCACTGTGATAATTTTCAATTGGTAAATCAGACATATTGTTTAATATCAACAACTATAAAATTACACATAATTAGAGGCCTTTTTTATTGGTACCAAGCTTATTACTATACGAGCCCTTTTTACTTTCTCGTTTATACGAAGTATAGAGAGTCTTGTAATCGTTTACATCTCACTGATACGGAAAAACATAATTTTGCAATCTTGTCCGTATGTCTGTGTCTGTGTGTGTATTTCTTTGTAACTTGAGTACCGTTACAGCTAGGTTGATGAAATTTCATATATAAGTATTTTATCAAAATCGTAGATCCTGATCAACGTTTGAGCGATTTCCGATAACCGGAAGTGGTACTTTTTCTACTTTGAATTTTTCAAAAGCCTATAACCTGAGTACTATTTCGGATAGATAAATGAAATTTCCCTTGTAAGTAAAAGATCTAATTCTCTAACTTCTGTCAAATTTTGAGTAATTTCCGTTGACAGGAAGTACTAATTTACGTTATTTCCGATTTCTCAAAAAACGCATGTAAATTTATAAAGTACTAATAATATTGCGCACTATTATGCACATTTTGTTTTGGCGTTCGCTTGGTGCGCAATTCTTTTTTCTATGAGATTCTATTCTATTTTTAAAAGTTTAATAAAAAATCATGTCTATATTCCAAGATATAGAAGAATATTCGAGAAAGTTTAGGGGAGATTACTCCCGATTTATTATTTATTAAACAATGCCCACCATATTTTCAATAATTGTTCTTTATGATAAAATACAACTTTTATCACGAGAGAATCGTGATGGCTTTTATAGAAAAAAGTAGGCTATATGGTAAATAATATGCAAATTTTGAAGCTTTTGAATATTAAAAAGGGTACGATTTTTTTGAGACCTTGTGAAATTCTTACTACTAGGTATTTCAGAAAGTTGTCGTGACAAAGGTTTTAATATATACTGAAATATAAGCAGTTTTAATTTGACTGCTATGAGTGCATAAAAAAAGCCTTAGCATTTTTTAAAGTACCGAAAAAGCAAAATGGCGAAGGTTTTTTTGTGGGTTTCCATGACAACGAAAATTGATTTCAACCTCTTTTTTGCTGTTTAATAATTACTTTCACTTTCATGTGCAAAACTCGGTAAAAGTATTTAAAGACTTTAGACCTTAAATTGTAAAAAATAGAGAGAAAAAACGGATCATATCCCTTTAAGAATAAACAATAGAATACCAGACCACACACACACACATATATATGTATATATTATATATATATATATATATATATATATATATATATATATATATATATATATATATATATATATATATATATATATATATATATATATATATATATATATATATATATATATACATATATATATATATATATCAGGGACCCAAGCTTAATCCTCCCTGACTATGAGGTGTCAGTACAAATCTGACATAACACTGGTTAATCTCTAACCTTAATCTAGTTTTTTTTTTTTTTAAAGATAACTAAACGTTAACTTTATTATACAAAAAAAAAATATGGAACCAATAAAAAATCTAACAACATTTATTCTTCTCCAATTTAGCTAAACGTATGATACGGGAAAATAATAACTACAAAACAAAACAACCAAACACCAACCAAACTATCAAACAAACACCTAGCCAAGTTACAAACGTAACCTCAGAAACGCGAGACACACAATGCATTCATTAAGTATTCCAGAATACATTAATGATCGTTCTTATTACGGGGAAAGAAACAGTAACTACCACTCTACCTGCTTATAAGTTATTTTGGCAGAGACCGGAGAGAGAAGTACATATACTAGAAACGCATAAAAAAAGATTGGGCAAAATTTAATTAAAAGAAATAATCTAACCACCCGCTCACAATTATAAAAGGTAATAAGGCTTCAGGTAAGTTCTGACGATCTACAGAAGATTTCCCGAAAAAGACAAAAAAGTTTTTTTTTCCTAGTTTTCATTGTTAACCCTGGGGGTCGTTCTACGACCTGAGGGAACAGTGGGTTTGTACTTGGAAATGTTTTTTTCCCGATCGATCGATCGATCAATGGATCTATCTATCTATCTATCGTGTGACTTTTTTGCCCCATCTTCCCCCTACACTATTCCGTTCTAACATGATGTGCAATATCGATTTCGCTATTTTATATATTAATTATATTGATCACAGTTGTAACAGGTAGGCCTAATCAGCAAATCATTCTGGTCCATTGCCAGTCGACTGGTAATGGACTCAAAATATAATGAGCTTAAATTTAATTAATAGTTATTGTTCTTCGTGGTATCAATCACGCCCCATAATTTTATTTTTTAAACAGAAAACATGTTTGTGATTTTTGAAAATGTAACAACTGGGACTCTATTACGTAGTAATGTAGTATTTAAATAAAAACCAACGAAATATTTAAAATAACCACACACACACGATTATTTTCTAAAATTCTTTTTTCCCTTACTTGTTAGCTCGAGAACAAAAACGAACGATTTCAAAGTCACTGGGGTTTCCTTTCATTATTGTTGGATATGTAAGTGGAAGCATCTTGATAGTCATAGCGATTTGCGTAGGTGAGTACCCTACAAATATTAAGAGTTAAATAATAACAATACTAAAAAAAATTGAATTGATTTTAAAGTTCTTTTATTAACTGAACCTCAACAAAAAACACCACTTGAACTTTTTAAGTCTGTATTCTCTAAGTAACATGCACACTGCCTAACGAATATGAACTCAAAATTATAACCCTTTATTTAATATAATAATATAATCATTACAACTGTGTGGGTGCAATACAATTCAACAATGATGTATTTTTAGATGTCATTCATTTTTAACATGATTAATTCTATTCTTCAAAGAAGAAATAATAGATTAACCAATCTCCATAGCTAGAATGAATTCATGACCACTTGTTGAAATGTCTAATTTTAATTAAATTTTTTCAACAGTGGTACGCTTGATTCGTAAAAAAATAAGTAAGTAATAGACTAATATTGCAGATTAAAATAGCCTTCACATAATTGCATCAATTCACAGAATTCAGTAAACATTACAGGAGTTTCATCGAACTCATTGTACTCTGAATTGGATGATAAACATAAGTATAAAAAGATGATGGGGAAGGATTTTCCTTGCTTTACACAGCTTTCATAATCCCAACTATTTTGTTTACAGATTCAGTTCCTATACAACTCCCTCCCATTTCTTCTTCTGTAGTATAAATAAAAAATTTTAAATCTACAATATTATTTTTTTTTTACAAATTTGATATCGTTTACACTGGTGATCTTATGTATTGCTAGTGGCTCATCTTTTAATAATTAATTTTAATATTATAATCACTTATGGTAGAGTGAGAACATATAGATAATTTGTATTAATTTTTCTTTTTTTTTCTCCATTTTAGAATCTTATCCACCTGCAAGAAAAAAAGGTAAGATTTGCCTGTTGCCCCCCCCCCCCCGGGACTTGGGTCACTGACAACAGTGGCGTAGCGCGGGGGGGGGGGGGGTATCACCCGGTGCGGCACTTGATGGTGTCACCCCCAGAGGCATAGCGACCCATCCTGGGGACAAACTTTCAACTTTCGATTTGCACCCCCACCCCCCAAACTTTCTATTTGCACCTCTTAAAACACTATTTAACAATATTTAACAGTCGAATTAATCACTTAATTAAGTGGAATTATCATTTTTCTCTATATATTTTGCTATTTTTTTGCCTTAAAGTCACCCCCCCCCCTAAATGGTGTCACCCGGTGCGGTCTGCCCCCCCCCCCCCCCCGCTACGCCTCTGACTGACAAGAGTTTCTAGGCATCTCTGTCCTGGGCTAGTCTCTCCAACTGTCCCCAGGTGTATCCAATCTTATTGGGGTCTCCTTCCGGGTCACGTTTCCAGGTCTTTCTTGGTCTGCATTTCCTCCTCCTGCCCTGTGGATTCCAGGTGAGGGCCTGTCTTGTTATTCTGCATACAGGCTTCCTGATTGTGTGGCCAATCCATTTCCATTTTCGCTGAGAGATCTCTACTTCAGCAGGCAGTTGATTTGTCCGTTGTAATAGAAGATCATTTCTGATGGTTTTAGGCCAGCAAATTCGCAAGATCTTTCTGAGGGATGAGTTTATAAATGATTGTATTTTCTTCGCATTTATAGCAGTGATTCTCCATGTCTCAGTTCCATAAAGCAAAACAGGTTTTAGAACCCCAAACATTTTTAGACTGCTATTGCCTTGCCCGTCCTAAGTTTTATGTCTGCTTCTGTCCCACCCCGCTTATCAACATTAATTCCAAGGTAGGTGAATCTATCTACGTCTTCTAGGGCTTTTTCTGCCATTGTTATAGGGCTGCAGTTTGATGCATTGACTTTGAGAACTTTACTTTTCCCTCTGTGGATGTTCAGGCCAGGCATGTAGAAAGATTTTCAAGACTGTTGGTTTTATCCTGCATTTGCTGTTGTGTGTGAGAAAAAAGGGCCAGGTCGTCAGCAAAATTCAGGTCATTCAGCTGGTTCCACAGTGTCCACAATGTCCACTGTATACAGTTTTGCATTACACTGTTGACAGCTTCATAATCCAGTCTATGGCCAGCAGGAACAGGAATGGTGAAAGTAGGCAACCCTGCCTTACTCTGTTCCGTACTGGGAAGGCCTCTGTAGTCTGTTGACCATGCACTACTCTACATTTCAGACAATCAAATGAAGACATAATAATGATGAGTATTTTCTGTGGCACCCCGTAGTGTCTCAACAATTTCCACATTGACTGCCTATCCAGGCTATCAAAAGCCTTCTCATAATCTATAAAATTAATATAAGAGATGAGTTCCACTCTTGGGTCTGTTCAATGATGATGCGCAGGGTAGCAATTTGGTCTATGCATGAACTGTCCTTCATAAAGCCCGCCTCTTGATCTCGAAGCTGGGGATCTATCACTTCCTTCATTCTGTTTAATAATATTCTGTTGAAGACTTTGCCTGGGATGGACAAAAGTGTTATCCCTCTATAGTTAGAGCATGCACTAAGATCGCCTTTCTTTGGAAGTTTTATGAATAGTCCCTCCTTCCACTCCTCTAGTTTGTTCATCTTCTCAGATTTTCTTGAAGAGTGTATAGTAGTGTGGTGCTAGTTTCTATATCTGCTCTCAGTGCTTCTGCCGGTATACCATCTATTTATGGAGCCTTCCAATTTTTTAGCTGATTTATAGCTTTATGTATCTCTTCTTTTGGATGTGGGTTACAGTCTATAGGGAGATCACTTTCAGCTGGTGGTATGTCTTTCGTGCACTCTGGTGTTGGTCTATTCAGTAGTTCTTCAAAATGTTCTGCCCATCTCTTCCTCTGTCCTTCCTCATCAGGTATTGTCTTTCCATCTTTGGTCTTCACTGGCCTCTCTGGCTTAATAAACTTCCCAGATATCTTCTTGATTGTATTGTACAAGTCCCTAATATTCCCATGTCACAGTGCTTCTTCTGCTTCACTAGCCAGCAGTTCTAAATAACTGTTTGTGTTTCCTTATGCATTTCTTGAGACTCTTGTTTGTTTCAGTATATTCTTCCAAGGCTTTTAATTTAGCAGCCTGTGTACGACGGTTGTTTAAGCAAGAAAAAAGGTTAGTTGAAATTACTTTACACCCTCACACCTTCCAAACCTTATCCTACTCAGGTTACTTAAGAACAATACAATTAGTTCTTGAACATCACTTTTTTCACAATATCTCTCAAACCTGATGTTAAAGAATAAATTATTCTTATTCTTAAATAATTGTATAGCTTGACTCAATGAAACAAAATAGGAGGGGAAAAATTAATTTAATTTTGTAGACACCATTGAAATTGAATTTGCTGACAAAGTTAATTTTAAATTAATCTTAAGATTTCAACATTAATATGACCAGCTTCATAACATCTTTATATAATACGTCTTAAAATTTTTTAGTTTTCGTTTTACATTCAGCTAAAAATATCGAGTATTTTCAGCCCTACAATCATAGTAAAATGTTTTCTTGATTAATTTTTGCCTTAAAAGAAACTGATGGTAAAAGAAAGCCATGTGTCATCTAAATAAAATTGAACTGTAATGTAAGAACAATAAAAAAATGTAATGTATGTATGTTGTGTAACACTGACATATAACCAAATTCCATACTTGCAGGATCCAAGTATTAAATAATACGAGCCGACCCGCGGCGTATGATACGCCGCTATTTTGTTGTTTTATTTTCCACTTTTCAGTAATTAATAATTAATGAATTCGACAGTACCAATGCTGCCACTGAAAATATTCTCTTTAAAACACTAAAACCCTCCTTTCCCCCAACCCCTACCCCCCCCCCCCCCCATGTGAAAGCAGCCTCCACTTAGTTACTTCCCCTAAGTATAAAATAGTTTTAAACTAAATTATCTGCCCCTAATAACCGTCATCAAACCCGGCTCTACGATGTAAAAATTTAGCGTGAACTACAGCTCACCAGACCATGTGGGGGTGGGGGTGGTTGCGATATGCCTAGAGAGGAAAAGAGGTTACTGCTCGGCGCGCTTACAGCTTGTTTTCTAACGTCTCCCAGAAGAGAATTATATATATAGATATTTTTTTTATATTTTAAATATTGGAGGTTTTGCCATTATAAAAATATTTAAGCTGTGAATTTCTTTAATCTAAGTTTAATTTACAAATAATGTTAAAAATTTACATTAGCTTTACGTTAATTTTTTTCTATCATGTTTTTCTTTTAAATTTAAGATGTTCAGACCCCATGATGCCTAAAACAGAAACAGGTTAGAGTCATTTTATAATACTATCATCCATAAGAGTATTTTACTATTTAAAAGTTATAACAGCAGTGAAAAGCAGAAAAAATGAAACACAAAAAATGCCTACAAAACAAGACAATCCTGAATCACATCATGTGAAAATATAGTCTGTGTTTTACATCAATAGCAGTAATAAATCTCCTTATATTTAACTTTTATCAGTTTACTCTCATACTTTTTTTAACATCAACCTCTAGTGTAGTACATATTTCAATATGTTTTGTCAAACATAGGGAATCAATAATACTTACTTGGTAAAAATCCAATTCATTGTCTTTTAAGCAATTTAATGTCTTCAGAAAGCCCACATCAGCTTATCTATCATGTCATGCATGTCTGTCATGCCAGTTCTGTTTTCTCAGATAATGCTATAATAGAATACAAAAAAAATAACTGATAAGCTTAATGATACCAATGTCAAATTGAGATAAAACTAGACAAATCTTAACTGGGATATGCATAATAAAAGGAATAGGAAAGCAAACATAATTACAGAAACACTGTGAATAAATTTGACTAGAAATTAGATAGAAACTAAGAGAAATCAATATCAAGTGTGCATACCAGAACATAGAAACATATATAAAACAGTTCATGTAACTAGCAATGTCAGTTTAGTTAAATGCCTAATAATAGTTTGGTACTGAAGAATTAACAAAACCTGTTTGTGTTAAGGCATAACATCAAAAATGTTTTTTAAATTTTAATTTCCTAAAATAATACAAGACCTGTTAAGGGTTATTTAATGCATTCTAATTTTTTTTCTTTTACAGATATCTCATAGTGATGAATGTTTTTTTTTTTCTGCTATGGGAGAGGTTCTACAATGACAAGTATCAATTTCCACTACCTCCATCAGGTTTTAAACATCACCTTACACACTGTGATAGAAACTATAAAAATCTTGCAAGCTCAAAGATTTATTGTCAGAAATAACAAATCATATGTTTGTAGAATTCAATGTTTTCGGATTTCAATTTTTACTTCAATTCAATCGATGACGCCATTCTTTTTGAGTATAGACACTAATTCCAGACATTACTATAATAATTTATCTGGTAACATTGATCTACACATTGTTACTGCACATTCATTCAAAATATAGTCATCGTATATCTTATCCCTAAACAGGTTGCATTCAGAGTTTTTTTTTAAGGTACCTCTTCAGGTGGTGGGAGAGTTAAGTCTGAAAGAAACTCTGGTTGCATTTGCAGGTCATACAGACCAAAAGTAGACCCTACATCCATAATCTAGACCGTTTCCTACTTTTAGTGGCTTAACGTCAATCATGCAGACAGCTTAACCTCAATCATGCAGACAGCTTAACCTCAATCATGCAGACAGCTTAACCTCAATCATGCAGACAGCTTAACCTCAATCATGCAGACAGCTTAACCTCAATCATGCAGACAGCTTAACCTCAATCATGCAGACAGCTTAACCTCAATCATGCAGACAGCTTAACCTCAATCATGCAGACAGCTTAACCTCAATCATGCAGACAGCTTAACCTCAATCATGCAGACAGCTTAACCTCAATCATGCAGACAGCTTAACCTCAATCATGCAGACAGCTTAACCTCAATCATGCAGACAGCTTAACCTCAATCATGCAGACAGCTTAACCTCAATCATGCAGACAGCTTAACCTCAATCATGCAGACAGCTTAACCTCAATCATGCAGACAGCTTAACCTCAATCATGCAGACAGCTTAACCTCAATCATGCAGACAGGGAATGACTGACTAAATTTTCTGGTGGGGCGGATAATGGTAGAATATTTATATATTTATATTAATTATATTTCATTCTGGGGAAGGGGCGTGTGAGGGTTGATAAAATATCCAAGAAATGCACAACACAATTGCAGTTAGATATCACAGTCCTTTATTTCTCTATCCTTCAGTCACCAAATCAACCTGCCCTCTTTTGTGCCCAACCTTCAACTGCCGTCCGCATTCATCCCTACACACCACCTTTCTCCCGCTCACAACACAGCCACTGTCACCCGACCAGTCGCTTCCCTTGTACCCTCGTTCACTCCGTACAACAACATACATGTCAACACACCCGGCCTCGCGTCTCACTACATGCTACATACACACACGCAGTGACCCGTTCCACGTATTCACCTTTCATACACATACATCACCACATACCCTCCATCTGTCCCTAGCTGATGCAATCAGCGGATTTAACAAAAAAATGTAAGAAAACCACTAACTCAACACAATATGTATATATACATAACTACGATGTTAACAGTTCCAATGGGACTGTTAAGTGGTCCCTCCAAAGACTTTCCGTAAGTCTGTAGTACACAGAATAGACGCACCATATCAGACTTGTACTCTGTAAAATACACCTAGTACAAAGACATGGCATCATGTACATATTACATTCCCGAGAATAGCTACATAGTAACCCTGTATAGAACATTTGAAATAGGTTTAAAAATCACACACAAACGACAACCGATCGTTGACTCGGCACCACCAGTAGCATACTTTTGTTGGGTACAATCCACCTTCAGTCTCTGCAAGAACATCATCATTTACATTTCTCGTATATAACAATTAACAATAACCACAGTACACATACATACATACTAAGAAACTTAACAAAAGGATACCGGTTCTTGTTTTAACTTTGGATACGACGACGGCGATGTTTCTCTCCTTCGGTACAACTTGTGGAAGGACGCCATGCTGCATAATGTATATCGTAGAACAAATGTCTTACACGTGTTGTCTCACCGCCGTCTTGTTGTGTGCTCCGTCCCAGACTGTGACCAGATCAAATATCACCTTACCGCTGCATTAGAATGATAGTTTTGTGGTATTGTCTCTCTCCCGATATCATTCCCGATGATTACGTCGAATGATCCCCGTTCGAACACTAAGGCTCGGACTTGTCCCGTCACATACGGTGATTTAATGTTTATCAGTGCTATCGGTAGGCGTATGACCGTGCCACCAAACACCTCTACCATTTTCCATTCACCTGTGTATTGGTGCTGTTCGACGTAGCTACTTTTTACCGCTATAGTAGAGCACCCCGTGTCTCTCACCGCCTCTACCGTATGAGCTCCCACATTCACCATTAGCGTTGGTATTTTCGGTGTGATCTGTAGTAACGGTGCTTGTTCTACACCCTCCTTATCTGGACTACTGTCGTAATCATTGTTATGATTTCCGTCCTGCCCCGGTCTATGTTGTTGGCTGTAATAACTGCGTACCCCATGAGTGTTTGTGTCTCTGTGGTATTCCTGGCCCGCAGCCTGATTATTGACCCCAACGTTTGAATTTCTATGCGGACAGTTCCTAATCATGTGACCCGGTTGTTGGCAGTTGAAACACCTCCCAACGTATCTTGTGCCGTTGGTTTGTGTTCCATATCTCATTGGCCGACGATTGTCATACCCGTAGTTTCCTGCCTCTAGACCAACATACTCCGCTGTATCGCCTGTCGCCTTCGCGTAGAAGATTGATTCATACTCTGATTCTTTGTTAGCTATTGGTCTATCCGTGTGTGCAACAATGTACTTTTGGCAGTGGTCAGTGAGTTCCTTTAGAGTGGTGGGCTTCCTTTCCTGTATGTAACTTAGTAGCTGCTTATCTACTGAATTTAATACTTTGTCTATCAACATGAATTCAATTATATTCTCCACTTTCATCTCCACTCTAGCCGTTTCTAGCCACTTCATAAACGTGGTTTTTAGATCCAGCACGTAGTTTTTGAAGTCCTCAGCTTTGGATGGTAGTCTGTTGTGGAATTTTTTCCTATACGAGTCTTCATTATGTAAGAAGAACTCAAGGAGAGTTTCCTTTAATATTCTGTAGTCCTTCATGTCATCCTCCCTCAGGCCCTGACATGCATCCAATGCCTTCCCTCCTATTAACACAAGGAGTTGAGTTCCCCACTGCGTATTGCTCAAGCCTGTCGTCCTCGCCACTGTCTCGAATCTCCTGATGTACGCATCTATATTTTCCGAATCTTCCTGGAATTTCGGCAACTTTGATAGAATGTTTTGATGGTTCATATCAATGTGTGGTATGTTTTTCATACCTTCATTCTTCATTCGTGCCAGTTCGAATTCCTGCCTTTCTTTTTCGATCGCTGCTTCCGTCTTCATTCTTTCCACCTCTATTCTTGCTTCCGCTTCCATTTTTTCTTGCTCCATCTTCATTCTTTCCACCTCTATTCTTGCTTCTGTCTCCATCTTTTCTCTTTCCCTCCTGCTCCATCTGTCCCTCCTTTCTTCACTCTCATTCATTCTTTTCTCCACCCACTCGTCCAACTTCTCTCCCTCGTATCCGTTGCTTTTGCCCAGTCTATACATCTCTGACAAACTCATTGGTTCCTCCATAATTCAACTAATTCAAAAACTCAAAAAGTTGTCACTTACAGGAGATCTGTTCTATTCCCCAATTGTGGGTACCCCGCAGCTCCACCAAGTGTGTGAGGGTTGATAAAATATCCAAGAAATGCACAACACAATTGCAGTTAGATATCACAGTCCTTTATTTCTCTATCCTTCAGTCACCAAATCAACCTGCCCTCTTTTGTGCCCAACCTTCAACTGCCGTCCGCATTCATCCCTACACACCACCTTTCTCCCGCCCACAACACAGCCACTGTCACCCGACCAGTCGCTTCCCTTGTACCCTCGTTCACTCCGTACAACAACATACATGTCAACACACCCGGCCTCGCGTCTCACTACATGCTACATACACACACGCAGTGACCCGTTCCACGTATTCACCTTTCATACACATACATCACCACAGGGCGGTAGACATTCTTTGGGGGGGGGGGGGGGGTGAGAGCAATCGCCCAAAGATGCCTGAATGGCTTCTACATGCAGACACCACTTTTAAGATTTGACAAATAAATCAGACAGTAATGTTAGTGTTTTAATGACGTCATTATTATTGTGTATTGTTTTCAATATTGGATTTTTCAAGTCTATATTTACTCTAGAATCAACTACGATATTTTATTGTGTGAACTTTTCGGCTGTAAAACTGTACGCTTTGTTTTGATAAATTGCAATTAGATTCATGTGACATTACTATAGTTCAATGTGAAACTTTTTATTTTCCTTGTGCTTTCTCCACAGCATTTTTGTCAGTCAGACAGACATATAGAACAGCAAAACTATTATTATAGATAACAGTAATACAGTGAAGAAAACAGTTTCTGGCAAAGTTGAGTGATGCTAGAAATATTTTATTCATATCAATTTACTGTAAAACTGAATCTGATTCTACAATGCAGAAAAACTAGATTAATGGCCTATAGCCTTTCTTTTCTTTTTAAATTTCAAACTAAAATGGTTCAAAAGCCGACTCAAAGCATATTATAAATGCAAATAAATAGAAATTGCATTTTATTTTACTGTTTAGAGACTTTTCTATGTATTTACAAGTAACGAGGGGGGGTGGGGGGGGGGGGGGGTGGGGGGGGGGGTGGGGGGTGGGGGGGGTGGGGGGGTTCAAATCTTACCAACAGTATTAACAATCAAATGACAAGAAATAGCAAAGTATATATTCAGTCAGCTATGCTAATAACATTTGGAACAAGCAATTACTCACATACTCAATGATATATATATATATATATATTTATTTATATATATATATATATATATATATATAATTGTCTTCAACATATTTATTTTTTTTATCCTTACCCAATGCTTCAGTTAATTTCATACCACCATTTTATCCTTTTTCTGAGGGTTAACTCACAGCTCAGGGCTCATGCTACTATTATTTGTTGAAAAAGAATTTCGGGAGTTTTTAAAGAAGGAAAAATATTATTTCAGGACATTTCATAGGGTATTAGATCAGATATGGCAACAACAAAAATGTGTAGTAGCATTAAATATAATTGTTGGTGACTTTTAAAGTGAATCATGAAATTCATTCATACCAACAGTAGGGATAGAGCTACATTTTGTGAAATTACAGAAGCATTATATTAACAAGAAATAAATTTAGAAAATAACATCTATGTTAGCAGAATAGCATATCAATAGACACTGGTGCGAACCAAGTAACTCTAAAAAAAAAAAATATTATGATTGTGCATAGTTGTTCGTGCATAGTTGTTCAAAATTAAAAGGTACAAGTACTATGATAAATGATTATCAAAAAATAATTATTTCTGGCACTGAAAATCTCTGTGCAAAACAGATCTGATACATAGAAACCATTCTGCAATGCTGTGGCTATATTCTGTCTAGAACCAGATAAAATTATAAACCGGCAGTTTCTCGATTATCAAATTACTAGCTGGTCATCTTGGTGGGTGTCTTTATGGTATACAACTTACCTGTCAAGGTACTTAGTTTACTGAAATACACCTTCATGTCTTACTGAAGAAATATACTGACTAAATTACAGCGGTACATTTCTTTTTGCTAGCAGGGATCTTTTATTTTCATCAAGTTTGAAGTCTAACATCAAAATACCAACCTTAAAGATTCCTGTAACAGTTTAACATTTTAGAACACTAGTCTTGGTTTATTAAATGACCTATTAATGTACCATTCTATCTTATATGTTCTAGATTATCTGAATTATCATAAAACAACCAGTTTGATTCAATACGGTTATAATAAAACTGTAGGGCCTATAAGTCTAAAATACATTTAACAGGTGTACTTATTAGGGGGCCAGCCTGACTTATTGTATTTGTTTTAAAATCAAATTACCAGCATTAAGATACCAATATAATTATATCTTATATGAGCCGACCCGCGGTGTATCATACGCCGCTATTTAGTTGTTTTATTTTCTACTTTTCAGTAATTCATAATTTGTGAATTCGACAGCACCAATGCTGCCACTGAAAATATTTGCTTTAAAACACTAACCCCCCCTTCCCCTACCCTACACCCCCCCCCCCCCTCCCGTGAAAGCAGCCTCCTCTTAGTTTAAAATCGTTTCAAACTAAATTATCTGCCCCTAATAGCCGTCAACAAACCCGGCTCTACGATTTGTAAACATTTAGAGTGAACCACAGCTCACCAGATCATGTGGGGGTGAGGTGGGGGTGGTAGTGATACTGATAGTGAGAAAGAGAGGGGACTGCAAAGGTGCGCTTGCAGCTTGTTTTCTAACGGCTCCCAGAAGAGAATTATATCTTATATATATATATATATGTATAATACCAGCCAGACAAGTAAAAATTATAAAAGCAAGCCTGAATTATTAAATGGCCAACTTTAATTTATTTAAATTAAGGGGCCGGCGTGGTCGAGTCGGTAAAGCTCATGGTTGCTAAACTGAAAAGTCTCGAGTTCGATCCCTCGGGCAGATGAGGCTCGTTAGCTGGGGACAGCCACTCTTCTAGGAGAGACAACTCCAAAATTAAACAACTGCTGCCTTGTAGTTCGTTCTTGATTGGACAAAGGCTATGGAAGCAAATCCAAAAAGAAAAGCAGGCTGAAATCGGAGTCAATGGCCTCAATGGCGCATAACCAGTTGACACGTAACGCTTAATTGTGTTGGAGGCGTGGTCGAGTCGGCAAAAAGCTCATGGTTGATAAATTCGAACAAAGTCTCGAGTTCAAACGCACTGGAAGATAAATCTCGATCCCCTTCAACACTAATAAATTAAGAACGAAGAAGAAGAAAAGAAGATTTAAATTCAAGTTTGACATCAACACAGCTCTCTTTTATATCAAGTGATCTGTTAGACTTTAAATAGAAATTGTGGCTGGTTTTATTTATCAGGAGACTAGTCATTATTATAAGATATATAATGTCCCGGTGGTTATGTCAACATGTCAACTAATAAAATATATCACATTGTTAGCTATTTATTTGTTAGTTCAGGGTAACAGTGTGAACAATGTATGTACAATAGAACTGCTACCATAACTACAGATTGTGTTCAAAGTCAACACTATAAAAGGTCTACTTAGACTAATATTCAAAATGAGGATCTTGATTTAGTCTGAAAATGAGTAACAAGTCATATAATATGGAATAAAAATATTTTTGGCATGTGACTTATTATTTAACTATCCACTGAGGGGGTTGGCCATATCTTGGCAATGAAAATAGAAGCTCCCTGACAGCAAAAAGTAATGTATCGCTGTAATTTTTAAAATGTGATCATTTACTGTTATAATTTGTAATCAGTTAATTATTTGATTAGAGTTTACAGCTAAAATTCTGCATGTTATTTGAATTGATACCATCCAATGCGTTAGTACCAACAAACTTATAAATGAGACTGAGGCTGAGAAAAATTTACAAAAGGAGCCTAGATAAATTAGTAGATTACACTCACTTGCTGGGGAATGGGCTAGCCACAAAATAGTCATTTACAAAATAAATTATTAGAAACTACAAAAAAATCATTAAAAATTTTAAGTTATTATAAAGATTAAGGAAAAACAAAAATCAAATAAAATGAAAGCCAAAACAAATACTTTGCTTCTATAGGAGGGGTAAAATTGAGCTTCTTATTTACAATAACAATAACCTATCACTGTACACAATGCACAATCAGGTGTCTGGTTTTAGGCCTTGCTAAATGACAAATATTTAAAACTTACTATATTTTTTACTAAAACTATAAGACTTAATTTTAAAATCCTCAATTACAATTAGTGGAGAGTGTCCTTGCTAAAACATTTTTAGTGAAAACAGTTAGGTATAAAATAATCAATTTTTTTTTGTCTCGCCTGTAAACATTTTTTCATTTTCAGAGTCAGTTTGCAACTGAGGCTATTAATATGTAGATTTGAGCAATCAAATTATTGTGATTATGTAATGTAATTTTAGCACTGCATACCGTTTGCCTTTTATAGCTGCTGTATAACAATTTTATGTACAATTGAATGTATAATTCTTACCTTATCTTTTCTTCTGCTCCAGTATACCCAGCATATTGAATAAATGTGCTGCAGAGAGAAAGTGCATGACAAACACTTAGCACTGGTATTGAATTAGCAAGATAAAATTAATTAGAGATAATTTTTAAAATATCACAAAACATAATGGAGTTTTGGTAGTTTCCAGCATACATCACTACTAAGGCAATAGTTTAAAAAAGTAGTGTTTTTTTTTAAGCTGTGATACTTCATAAAAGTAATTTTACAAGTTTCATTTTTTAAACTACTTGCTGCACACTTAAAATTAGCAGTGATGTACAATTTAGCTACAAAATAATTTTTTTGTCTTCAACTTGTTGGATAAAAGAGTAATATAAAAATGGTTCTATGTCACACTCTTGATATTATTTGTATTTTTATCTGTATTGCCATTTCACTGTTGTAGCAATTTAAAGTTGAATGTTAATCAGAACTTTTTAGCTTTGCAAACAAGTAATTTACTTTTATTGTTATTTTTTGGGTTGAGTGGCTAAGACTTGCAAACTAGAAAGTATCCTGATCAGTGCTTGTTCTTCTTGAATAATGTAAGCAGCTTTCAAAAGTATTTCAAATAAAATTATTTAACACAGTTAAAGCATTTAAAATTAATAAAAAAAATTTGTTTTCCTAAAAAAGTTTGCTTTCAGATTTGACGGTCAAGTGAAATAAAGTCACTAGGACAGATGTCATCTGGTGCAGTAAATTATATATCATCCTCCCACAATAAGTGTGTATTTATATCTTACTAGCAATGAGTAAAAATGGCAATCTATAGTACCTTGGCTGAAAATGGACTGTCAAAGCATGAAATGAAAGTAGATGTCATATGGTCATGTGGGAGCTTGGAGCACACCTGGTAATACAACAGCTAGGGCACCACAGGACACCCCTGGTTCGATTTAGTCAACCATGAGAAATGCCCACCTTATTCTGCTTTTACTGTCAAATCACTGACACATGTAAATAAAATAATGAAGATGAGAATAGACATATATTAGATAACTGAATCATTTACATATGGGACAAAAAAAATATTGTTTAATATTGCAAGGGCGGCGTCCCCTCGGGGGGAGGCAATTTTTTTTCTCTATACACGATATATAAAAAATAAAACTCGGATGCGGTTCATCAGAGTGCCATGAAACTTTAGGAAGTAGATGAGAATACTCCCGAGAATATTTCTGCGAAAAAGAAAAATAAAGTTTCTTGCGGGCAGCGCCATATAGGGTACAACTTTCGTCAATACATGGTTTGGCGCCCATAGTTTTAGAGCAACAATGTTGGCACTTGGCATCCGTTAATCGAGCGTCCTGCATAGCGAGTAAGGGGTAATACTATATTCAGTGGTAAAACTACAACAGGCTTCTAAAAATAACTTTGTAACGCGAGGAAATCCCCCTGTACAGTTTCGTCACCTTGCCAAAGATGAAAAAATAACTTTTTGAATATGAGGAGCCTACTGTAGAGTTTCGTCACTTTGCGAATGATGCAATAAGCATCTATTATTAGGCAATCCAGTCAGAAAATGGAGATCGAGCATCTAATAATAGACCATTAGTAACGCTAGCATATCGATCAGTCACAATGATGTTTAAAACACGTCAAATACTTTTTTTTTACATGTTAAAGAAAAAAATCCTTTTCATTTGTGTCACTTTAGCGAATGACGAAATCAGCATCATTACTAACAGGATGCTATTTGGCCGATGGCGCCTGTTAGTTTTAAGGAGCCAGGGGTCGTACGCCGCGCCTATGCGGTAGTGTAATCGGGGGGGGGGGGGGGGCCTGAGAGCGCCCCTCTACGTCTCTGACACATGGGCGGTCACCGAAGTGTGTTCTACCATATTACTTCTGTGAGTGATTAATGTACATTCAATGTTTTCATGCGGTAGTGTAGGTAAACCTGTGTCCCGATATTTATGATCCAAGCGCAGGCATTGTTTACATTTAAATAACTCATTTTTAGAAAAGAAGGTCTCGCGTCTAAGAACATATAATTGATAACGCGTTGGTGAAATCCTTCTAATATATTTCGTCAAACTTTCTTCTATCCCCGCGGCAATGCGCGGGGGTCGGGTACGCTAGTATATATATAAATGAAAGTATCTCTGTATGTTTGCCTTTTATGCATCACTAAATCTATCATCTGATAACTATGAAACTTAAAGATGTTGTATAGAAAACTCCTGGGAAAGTATCGGAGGTGCAGTTCCCTGGCAGGCTGATGCTGTTTGGCGCTAGAGTTCAATAGCCGCTATGTTTGCAGTTGGGATCCGTTAATTGAGCTACCTGCAAGGGTACTAATTGATTCAATTGTCAAACTGCACCATGCTTATCTGCTGTCGCCATGGTGATCAGGTGTGCCCAAAGCTCCCCCATCAGCACTATGGCGTCTAAGTTCGCTTTTAGTGGGGACAAGTTTGGCTTCTAAAATCAATGGCTAAATAAAAATGTCATCGTATTTCCTGCTACAGAGTTTGCACGTCTAAACCACAATTTCCTCCTAGCTTCACAAATATCACCCTCATTCTCTATTTACTAATTCTAAGTGTTAATTATGAAAACAAACGAAGAGAGGAAATAAATGACTTTATGCAAATGATGAATAATACTAGGCTAGATGTCAGTTTATAATGTATATTTGGTCTACATATGTGTAAATGACAGAAAGCAGACAAATGGTAAAAACACATAGCCTTAAAAAAGCCTTCTAGGATAAAAAAAAACATCAAGTTTAAATGGTGCTGGTATTTCTTTTTAAGCTCCAAACCCTCTAAATGTTAAAAACTCTTAAGTTTGTGGATCTGGAAAGTGACAAAAATAGTTTTTAAATCTGGAATTCCAGGACAATCAGAAAGTTGGCACCTTGAAGAAATATCTATTTAATTTCTGAAACAACTTACCTCATAATTCTAATCTACTTGTGGTTCTCAGTCTGCCATCCATTGCTAGATCCTTCTAGCTTGGCAGTTTGTGTACTTCAACAACCCTCAGAGCTATACCAGTGGGAGTGTAAACTCCTGGCAGGTTAACCAAACCGTAAAGATCTGTGTGAGTAGGGATTAGACAAAAGTTAGCACCCTGGTCCACCAGGTTAGAAGTTTAACATAAGGCCAGCAACCTTATTTCATAAAAAAAAAAAACCTGCCACATAGGCCGAACAGGAATCATTAAAACTTTTAAAACCAGTAAAAACAGAGCTGTGCTCCAAAGAAGAAAAGTAAGGTTCTCTTTTCAAACCTGACGGTCTATAGGGCAAGTGAAGTAGAGTTCACTTGTTTCTGTGACCCCTGCACATTAAGGGATAGTGTGGTCAGCACTATGCCCTGTCGTCTTTACTTACCCTAATGTGAGTTAGGTACCCATCAGAGCTGGGAGAACTCAGGAACAGTCTACTGACTTGAACCCAGATTTGAACTCAAGACTTACGGGTTAGCAGTCTACCGCTAGGCCATTCCATCCCTCTCCATTGAAGAAAGCTGTAGATGAAAGCTGTGATACAGATGTCTACATCCTGACAGCACATAGGGAAGCAGCTGATAGAGGCAGGACTCTACAATCTAGGATCTTTCTTTCGCAGACCCTGTGGGCACAAAAGGGAATAAATGATAATGATGGTTCTCAGTAATTAATACAAATTTAATTGAAATTGTCACAAATTCCTCATAAGCAAGGACACTTCCTTACCTTCTATTTTCTTTCATTTTCTGTAATATTGTGGTGGTTTTTTTATCCAGTATCCAACAATATCTTTCTTAGTTCAGTTTCTCTATCAACTATTTAAAATACAATAAAAGTAGTGATAATAACAATAAAGAAAGCATTCTATATCATTTCCCAGCGTATATTTTGCAATAACTAAAAACAAAAGAGTAAAAACTATTAATTTTTGTTTTATTTTCATTATATTACACTTGAAATTTTATTACGCATTGATATTGTCTTGTAAAAAGTTATCTAAAGCTGTATCAATATGGAGTTTGAGACCATACTTAAGTCTCACAGAATTTTTCATTTTATTTTAAACCGAGCCTCATGAATTGTGTGTTGCAACAATTAAAAAGTTAAACTAAAACATTCAAGTAAAAATATTTAGATGGTCTGGTATGAAGGGTAAATATAAGGAACCACTAATGAATCTCTATGATAAATTGAAATTATTAAAATTACTAATATGATTCTTTTAATATATTGCACTGATTTAATAATCTTCATAAATTATTAGACAAACTTCTTCTAAGCATATCAATGAATTCACTAAAATGCAAAATAATAAGGACAAGTCTTTTTTAAAACTAGATTCAACAATATGCTTTTTCGAAGATCTAATGTAATGCAATAAAGCAGTCCAGTGCCACTCATGTACTTATATAAAGTTTAATATTGCTAATATGTATAGTTTTTGAGTTTTTGGCACTGAAAGTCATTTTTAATTGCAATTATCCCCCTTTAAACAATTTGTTTTTTAAATTTCATCATTTAATAAAAATCAAAATGAAATTTATTTTCAACATTAAACTAATTTAAACTTTAATCATTTGTTTGCAGTCTTGCTTTCAATTTAATGATAATGACTTGCTATAATTTTATATAGGTTGGTCTTTAACAGTAATGTGCCTAATTGTAATTTTAACTTTATAATTCATATTATTATGGAAAATGAGATCTACCAGAAAAGCTGAAACTAGAAAGGGCTAAAAGCATAATTAAGTACTTACTTAATCCTCGTTACTCCCTGTGGAGAATAGGGTAGCAACAAATCTTCTCCATTCGTCTGTCTAGCTACTGGCACTTATTCTTCCATCTCTCTCGCGCTTTTCCCAGTGGTCTTCCTCTTTTTCGCTTTCCATGTGGAGTCCATGTTCGGGAGTCTTCTTTTGTTCATGCGAAGGACATTACACAGCCATCGCCATCTCATTTGCACTTCTAAGACAATGTCGTTTAAGGCTGTTCTTCACTATATCTTCTTGTTTGGGATTTTGTCAAATATTTATTGTTTTTTTCTAGGCCCAGATATTAAAGCTAGAATTGAGATTCTTCTCCGATAGACCTAACAATTGGCTTAATTATATTTATCGCTTGTATTCTTGAGTTAGATAATTGATAACAGTGTTGGAACCTAATAGAAACAATAAACCATTATATTATTCAAGCTACAGCCATAAGCTAATAATAGATTGTAATGCATCTAGAATTTAATTGTTTTTGTTATTAAGTCATATATGTTGTCTTGATGGGACAGGATTAACATTAAAAACTTAGTAAATAATTTAAATAGGCTATTAAAATAGATTTTAAAACTTAAACGAGCCTAATTATTTTAACATTATAGTTTGATAGATAATGAGATCAACAGGAATAACTGAAATCAGATTTTATGGAGTATTTTTTATTTCAAATAAATAGTATTTTGAAGAAAACAAATTCTTTAAAAATTGAGGAAAAAAACAAACATCTGAATCAAGCAGACCTATAATCTTGGAGATAGTCTTCTCATCAATGTGTATGCTTTTCAAATAGCCTTAGACTGCTATTAAAAATTGACAGTATGGCATCCCTCCTCCCATCAACTAGACAATGTGGAGAAGTCATTGTGATAGCCACAACATGAACAACAGAACCCAGTCTACAATTGATACAATTGCGGTTCTACATAGGGCCTACAGTCTAGCAGTTTACAGTGGGCACATTAGTATACCTAAGTTTCATGGTGATTACATAATAGTTTTAAAGAGATGAGAAATGTTGAGGGGAGGGCAGTGGCAGCCTATTGATTGCTCTTTGACCTCCTCCCTGCTTGACCATGATAGTCATAAATGTCATAACATGCCATCTCTGATGTCTAAGAACACTCATATATGTTACCTACAAAAAATCCATTTTAAAAAACTCTTAAAATATGTTCCGAGCGGACAACGGCGTTAATTCTAGATCTAGAATCTAGATCTATAATTTAATTGTGGCAACACATTTTTTTGCTTATAACTTCTATGCCTGGAAGAAATAACTATGGGTTGTAAATTGGGGACTAATGAATCAATACTGAGTCGTTTGTGTACCCAAAAAAGCAGCATAGAACTGATTCATTCACTGTTAAGTCTTAATCGGTAGTGAGGGGAAGCCGATAGTAAATATCCCGATCACGTGACCGGCAGCCACTCAAATAAAGGTCCATTAATTTCTTCACGTAGATTTAGTTATTATCTAACAAATAAAACCATTATGATATTGAGTCTAGATCTATTATCATTATGATATCGATCTGTCAAGACTTACTTTGAGAATGATCAAAACTTACTTAGCATGGTAAAACCGGACAAGTGTCGGCCATTTCATTTTGTTTTGGCATCAGCAGTCACTGGGGGTGTTGTGGGGGTGAGGTGCCTGACTGGGTCCGACTAATACTATACCACACGACTTAGTGCCCTGCTTTACCCTTTAGAATCAAGATCTAGATTTAGTATTTAATTTATTATTTATCATCTAATGATTCTAATCCTAGTGTTTTCCTAACATTTGTGTGTGTTTTGGTTGTGTTTACAATAAAATTACTAGATCTAGATCTAGACTCTAGTTAGATCTAGAGATCTATTTTAAAATACGCTCAACCGGAGTTACGCGAAGCGGCGAATAAAATACGCTAAAATGGAGTTTTACCTTAGATCTAGAAACTAATACTAAATCTAGATTCTAGATCTAGATCTGATAAGATAAACTATAATAATAGAAATTTAATAATATTCACAGACTTACCGGCTAGACTAGGCCGTGATCTACAGTCTATAATGTAGAAAACCCTAGAATTGCTGCTTGCACAAAGTACAGGTAGACTATGACGATGTCCCAATGAAAATGCTACTTCCTGTATTATAAATAGATCTAGTAAATATAGCGGGAGTGATCTCCCCTGATCTTGTAAATGACGTCATTGGTCGTTCAGTATGTAAACATCCGCCATCTCGGTGTACAGGTCTACATTCAAAATGGCGATCTGTGTTATGAAAGTTTGTGATACTCGAAGTAGCAAATCCGAAGGGTTATATAAACAGAACGTGGACGCTTTCAATTTTTAGCCACCATTTATCGAAGTGGTGTTAGTGAAGCAGCGGCAAATGAAATGCGAATATGTTCTCGACACTTTGCTTTTAGTAGGAACAGTAAAGACAAAACTTCAATTTAATTAACAAAACACAACTGTTAATAAAACAAATATACTGGCCTTCACAAATATTAATAGCAATAGAGCAAAGTCATAAGTAATAATAAAATTTAATTGGAATATTTATTTAATATTTAGATCTAGAATCTGGTGGAGGTCCTATGTTCCATAAGGAGCAAAGAGGACTAAGTCAAAATAAGTAGATCTAGAATCTAGCTCTAAATCTAATCATGTTGTAAGCGAAATTAGATCTAGACTTAGAGTGACTGTCTCTGCCAGGTAGACATAGAATTTAGAATCTACTTATTTAATTCAATTCATTTACAAAATTAATTAAATTTAAGCACAAAATTTAGACCTATATTCGATTTCAAAATACACCAATACTAAATAAAAAAATCGGCCTAATAAAAAATGTAGGGGAGGAGTGTGTGAAAAGTCACCTGGGCGAAAAGCCACAGCAAGTGTTTGCATTGAAGAACATACTTTTTTCATTCCTTCATCAAGAAAATTATGGTTTTTAGTCGTTTACCCTGCTTGGAGTTTACTTCCTGAATCGGAACTGAGTTCAGAACCAGAGTTTCTTCCAGGCATCTCTTCGGGGGAGGGGGGGGGGGGCGAAGCCCCCCCCCCCCCGAAATTTTTTTACCGCCCCCCCCACCCCCCCGAATGAAATGAAATTTATATAATTTATATAGAAAATATATACCTTTAACAGTGTCCGCCCCCCCCCCCCCCAAGAAAGTTTACCGCCCCCCGAAGATTTCAAGTGCCCCCCCGGAGAAAAAAGTCTGGAAGAAACACTGTTCAGAACCTCGTGTACATGTTTTCAAAGTGGGAAGTTTAATCAACTGAATCCTGTAAGTATGCTTGCATCTTTCATCATTTTTATCTTTTCATGCAATGTTTGTTTTCTTAAGCCATTTTAACGTCAGTCTGGATTGATTGTTTTTACTTCTGATAAATTGATTTGAAAGTGTGGATCGTTTTGTATGACAACCCCCTGCTGGGATGAAAAGAAGACTACTTGGTACAAAACATGCAACATATTTTTTTCTTTTTTTTTCTTGAATTTCCAAATAATTAATGTCATTATATCCCCCTAGCATTTACACATTGAATAAGATAATAATAGGCAAGTCAAGTAGTAGTAGTAGTAATAAATATATAATTTTACTCAGAAATAATAACCTTTATAATCAAATCATTACACTTGCAATCACTGAATTATGTGTGTTTAGATTGTGTCTTTGAATTTAGTCTAAGGCGTTCAACTTGCTTTTTTTTTCTTCACAGAATCATGCCAAAACAAAACCAGCGCAAGACAACACGAGGAACATTTACGAAACATGCCATTGAGATGGCAGTTGCATCCCATTTTGAAGGAAAGTCGCTCCATAAAGCTGCATTCGACTGTGGGGTTAATTATAAGACTCTTCAACGTTATGTAAAGCTGCACAAAACAGACGGCAACATTGAGAAGGCAACTTTTGGCTTCAGTACGCAGAAGAAGCGCATATTCTCAGATGAGCAAGAACAAGAGAATTACGCAAACTAGCCTACGACGTTGCTTTCGCTAACAAAATTTCCATGCCAGAATCCTGGTCCTCTGCAAAAACTGCAGGAGAGGATTGGCTGAAGGTATTCAGGTAACGGCACAAGGACAAGCTATCTCTGCTAAGTCCGGAGGCATCATTACTAAATCGCGCACATGCATTATACAAAACAAACGTCAACTTGTTCTTCGATAATCTGGAGAAAGTGATGGGGAAACTTAACTTTCGGCCAGAATGCATTTGAAACATTGACGAAACTAGGTGTTCCACTATACAAATGCCTCAGCGACAACTAGCAAAAAAAAGGGCGAAAAACATGAGAAAGGGAGCACCGTCACACTATGTGGAGCGGTAAATGCCATCGGATATAGTAAGCCACCATTCTTCATCTTCCCCAGAGTCAATGTTCAAGATCACTGGAACCTAGGTGCCCCACCAGGAACACGATGCGATTCTCACCCAAAGGCATCCGGGTGGATGACGTCTAGGTAATTCATTAAATTTCTTCAGCATTTTGCCGAACATGCGAAGCCGTCTAAGGACAATCCAGTGTTGATGATTTCGGACAATCATGCGTCCAACTGTAGTGAAGCTGCAATTACCTTTTGTAGAGAAAACCACATCACTCTCTTGTCATTCCCCCCCCCCCCTCCCCCCCCCCCCCTATTGCTCGCATGAAAAGCAACCACTGAATAAATCAGTCTATGGACCATTCCAGTTGTATAATGACCGTGCTGTGGAGATGTGGTGCAAAGATTCTGTTAATGCTGGCAAGCAGATGTCCATTCACTATAAACCACATGTGGTTTTATACGCTTTTCCCAAGGCATTCACACCAGCAAACATCGTATCTGGATTTAAAGGCACTGGGATTTATCCCATGGATTGATATATTTCTCCAGATCACAAATTCATGCCAACTTATTCCACAGACAGACCAAAACCTATCCCGGTCAGAGATGATGTGGAGCAACTAGTGGTACCTACACAGTTACGTCAAGCGGTACTCGAGGTAGCGCACGATAACAACTGGTCAGCTCACATGAGCGTGGCTAGTAGGAAATTGTTACCTCGAGAAACACGTTACAGTGTTATTGAGAAGGAAGCTCTGACTTAGTATGGGCAATTTTTAAAATTTCTAGATATCTGTGGGGCACACGTTTTATGGTCCAGACAGATAACAAACCCCTTACACTTATATTTTGCCTATAATAAAGACACCACAGTAGTGTATTCAACCACCTTGTTTTACAAGCAACAACGTATATTAATGTACAATCTTTTGTCCGTTGAACACAACTTTGTAGCAATCACTTGTAGAGTGTTATACAATGCTATGACGTTTCAGGTAATAGCCTTAACCACACACACACACAAATATATATATATATATA